GTCGAGGAAAGTCGTTCTTAGAACACCTGGCCAATTTGAATTTACACCTGGAAATTTTGCAACAGTCGTTTGCGTGTTTTTTGACCGAAGTCCGCTCTCTCTTTGAGACTTTATTTTTGGGAGTCTCAACTAGTGACATATATTATTACAACAAGAGCTTTTTACAAAAAAAATGTAGTTATTAAACACGGCAGAATCTATGCCACGGCCACGGGTTTTCAAATTGTCTATTGTCTATTGAGTTATTAAATTGTATTATTGAGCAAATGACAGACTTCACGCAATAATGATTAATGTTGTTTTTTAGCCTGCTATTGTTCGACACTTTTAATAAATAGTGTTTGTTACTTTGTTCAAAACCTAAATACGTTTCCTTAAATCTTACAGTTATATTTTGGATATAAATATATAAAATACATTAACTAATAGAGAGTAAAATTTTACGTCTCTGTAGTATAGTTACATAATTTAAAACGGCAATGTACGAACAAGACAGCAATATACAAACAGGACTATGTTTTAAATATTAGAACACTTTAGGGAAAAAACGACCATGAATTATTTTAGATTAAAGTTTAGACCTTGGAATCCTAGTGAAAGATACAGGCGTAAAATTGCGCGAGAAACCGTTTGTTGTTGTTAATAACCTCTGGTAATCTAATTAACAAAACTTGCTTTGATTGGCTACTATTTACCGGATATTCAATTATCTCAAAGGGGGCGTATTGAAAAAATATCAATAAAAGTCGCAGGCTCTATATAATAGAGCCTGTGAGCAGGCTAATAACAGGGTTGCAAGACATTCGAAATACACAGTTTGAACAATAACAGGTTTGCATTCAACAGACAGACAGACAGACAGACAGACAGACAGACAGACAGACAGACAGACAGACAGACAGACAGACAGACAGACAGACAGACAGACAGACAGACAGGCAGGCAGGCAGACAGAGAGACAGACAGACAGACAGACAGACAGACAGACAGACAGACAGACAGACAGACAGACAGACAGACAGACAGACAGACAGACAGACAGACAGACAGACAGACAAATTTTGTGACAACATTCTGTTTCTCAATTTACAGATATCGGCGAGTGCACTGTAGGGACACACAACTGTCATGTCAACGCAAATTGCATAAACACAAGAGGATCTTTCGTATGTGCTTGTGAGACTGGTTATGAAGGAAATGGTGTCACTTGCATAGGTATGGTTGCTTTGCCAATTCAATTTATAATAAGTGGGAAGTAAAGACAGAAAAAGTATAGAGGTCACAGCTTTTAGCGTTGTTAATTTGAAGTGGCAAATTTACCTTATGGTATATACCATTTTCTGCAGTAGAACATTATAGTACTAGTCAACGGATTGCCAAAGAGGAAAAAATTGCCCGCGTAATTCAAACATTATAATATAGAAAAGTTGTGCTTGACATAGGTATTGTGAAAGGATAAAAGCAGCATATATGTTCGTAACAAATACAGTATACTGAAGATATACCCAGCTATTACATTCGGTTAATTTGCTTTAATTTAATTAATATATTATTTTCTATGTAGATATTAATGAATGCACGCGTGGAACACACAACTGTCCAGGTTTCTCAACTTGTCTTAATACACCAGGATCATTCATTTGCCAGTGTGGAAATGGCTTAAGACTAGTTAACGGCACTTGTGTAGGTAAGAAACAGGAATTATGCAATACTAATGACTATATATTATGTATGTGGTAGTAAGGCTACGCTTAGGCTAAAGTGTCACTTGACAAAATTTTTAGTCTGAAAAATTTCTTTGTAGCACTTTCAACAATAACAATAACAACAGCAACAGCAACAGCAACAGCAACAGCAACAGCAACAGCAACAGCAACAACAACAACAACAACAAATTTTTATTTACCTACATATAAACAGTTACAGAACATTTTAACAAGTTTGATATTTAAAAGTGTAGAGGTACTGGATTCCTGAAATAACTATAAAGCTAAAAAAGTTAGGAAGCCAGGAAACATAAATTAAGTTACATTACGGGTCGAAGATATACAGTACTCATTATTATACACACAAACACAAAACTATATTATATTTACACATACACTAATAAAAGTTCTACCATAGTTTTCATTATAATAAGAAATTGAAACTAGGAACAGAAATCAGTCTTAATATTGCATCTTATTGCAAATGAAGAAAAAACAAAAAATTATCAATATTTACTTAAAAATTCTTTTCTTAAATTTTTTTAAAATTTCATGTAATTAAGAAACAGATTTAAAATCTAAACCAAACGAGTTTCAGACTTTAGGCCCTTGAAACCTAATATTAAATTTACCATAATTTGTCCTTGCTTTGGGAAGATAATAAGATTGATTTGCAGTTGATCATGTATTATAATTATGGATTGCTTCAACAGAAGTAAAAAAGGAACTGAACGCAGAAGGTAACATTTGATTGTGAAATTTAAACATAAAAACTGCAATATGCAGTGTAACAAGATCACACAGCTTGATAACTTTTAATGACTAAAGATAGGGCTTGTGTCGTCATCAAATTTAGAGAAAGCAATATACACATAGATTTTTTCTGCAAAACAAAATGGGTTGTAAAGTTGTAAGGTATGTATTACCCCAAACAGTTATCCTATATATTAAATATGGGTAAATTAAAGCTTCAAACACTCATTAATAATTCATAAGCTTATTGGCAAATCATGTCAACCATAATATGTTACGTGCAGTGGCTTTAAACCTGATACCACACTCCTAATTAGTATTCTTTATATAAAGAATACTAATCAGGCAGTATCTATTGTAGTCGTGTCCTCATTAGTATTTTTTTTTTATATAAAGAATACTAATAAGGCAGTATGTCTATTGAATTTGTAGTCGTGTTTGAAGCCGTTTAATAAACTCGCAGGTCGTGTTTTATTAGGTCTAAAGCCACTCGCGCTGTGAGCACGAGTCTTTAAACCTAATAAAACACTTCTGCTCGTTTATTAAACAGTACATAATAAATGTTGGTTAGAATGTTTACATTTAGGTAATATCGAAGTTTTTTGATAAAACTCCAGCAACCTGGGGTTTCCAACTGAGATATGAATCAATAAAAATACCAAGATACTTGATACATTTCTCTTGTTGTAATGGTATATTATTCAAGGTTAATTCTAGATTAAAAGGTAATTTTCTTTGAGGTGGGTAAAAACCAACAAAATTTGATTTTTCTACATTCAATGAGAGCCTATTTGCGCAAAGCGAATTATGAATATTAGATAACTCACTGTTTATATTAGATTGTAGAATAGCAAGATTCTTATGTTTATGGAATAAATTAGCATCATCAGCAAATAAGTGAAAATCAAAAAGGGATGAAGAAAGATGAAAGTCGTTAATATAAAGCAGAAATAGTACTGGCCCAAGAAGAGATCCTTGTGGAATACCACAGGAAACTGTTGTTGTGTTCGTAGTTTCATTGTTAACTGTAACAGTTTGTTGACGATTTTCAAGATACGATATGAACCAATTACGCCATAATAGTCCAATTTTCTTATCAAAATTTCATGATTTACAGTATCGAACACTTTACTAAAGTCTAAAAAAATTCCACATGAAAAATCACGGTCATCATTTGCTGTTTGAATTTTGTCAATTATGTTAAGAATTGCATAATTGGTAGAGTATTTTGTACGGAAGCCAAATTGATTGTCATATAAGACATTTTTCTTTTCAAGAAAATCTAACAATCTGCTACAAACAAGCTTCTCTAATAGTTTTACTAAAGATAGACAGGAGGGGAGTTGGGTGATAGTTGCATATAGGCAGGCAGGAGATCCCTTCTTGTATACAGGTATTACATTAGCCAATTTAAGACTTGAAGCGTTGAACAAGTTTACTAGAGGCTTTGAAATTACTTGTCTAAGAATTTTAAGCACAGAAATAGGTTCACTAAAAGGACCAACAACCTTCCCAGTCTTAAGTTGGGATATTTCTGTCTCAATTTCATTAGTAGTAGCGGGAAATATAAAAAAGCTATTTGGTAATGGGGATTTTAGATTTTCTAATGGTGAATTTGGAACCTTTGGTATTAAATTAGCCAGGTTATTTCCTATGTTTTTAAAATAGTTATTAAATGCATTAGCAATAATTTTTGGGTCAGTTATTTCAAAAGTGTCCTCTACAATTTGAATAGTTTTCTGGTTTGTGTTTGGCTTAAAATGAATTATTTCTTTAATTCCACTCCAAATTCTTTTGCTATCATTGATGTTTTCTAGGAAATAACTGTTATAATATTGCCTTTTACTAATCTTTAAGAGATGAATAATTTTTTTTCTCTAACATTTAAATTTAATATGGTAACATGTAGATTTTGCCTTTAAATATTTTTTATATAGATTATTTTTCATTTGTATAGACACTTTAATTGCAGGCCTTATCCATGGTTTTGATTTAAATTTCAATTCTCTCGATATTTGTTTTATGGGGATGTATATGTGTTCGTCTATTATTTCTGATGTTTTATCATAGAATAAATCAAATATACTAGACGGATTGCAATTGGATGTAAAAATTGTTTCCCAGTTTACAGCTAGCATTTCAGTAACTAAATCTGTGTCTTCAAATTTAGAGTAGTCTCTTTTATATATTTTGACACCAGGTGGAAGAGAAGAAAATTTATTAAAGATAACAAAATTTGGTAAATGATCTGTCAGGTCATAAATAAATTCCCACTGATAACAAAATGTTCAACTGAGTTAAAAGAAAATATTATCAATCAAAGTGGATGAATGGTCAGTAATTCTACTTGGTTGTAGAATTTGAGGTTGAAAAAAGAAAGAGCCAAGAGTATTGATAACATTTTCAGAGCCAGCATAGGAATCGTATTTTAAAAGATCTATATTGAAATCCCCCATTATCATACAAAGTTTATTTTCTCGATGGATTTGATCTATTGTCAAATTTAAATTATCAAGGTTTCCATTTGGGTGCCGATATATTATTCCACATATTAAATTTTGTTGACCATTAAGATGAATTTCTATCCAAAGGGTCTCAAAATCATGATTAGAAGTAGTGAATTCTAACCGAATACCAAATTTTAAATTATTCTTTATATATAAAAAGCAACACCCCTGCATTTGAAAGACTAGGTTGTAAAATAAAACTGTATCCTTGTATGTTAATATTTGTCAGAGGTTCCTTATCAACTTTAAATTTAATTTCTGAAAGTCCATCAGAAAAATGGAAAATTTAATTCAGAAAACATGTGTAGTAAATTGTCATAATTGGCAGTCAAACTTCTTATATATTACAGTCTAAAGCTGAAAATGATTTAGTATCTATTGGACACTGAGTAATATCATGGTTACTGTGAAAATCATCAATACTATAGTAATTGAAATTATTATCAGATGGCATATTCAAATTAATATCTGAATTTGTAAGATGAGGAATATTTGAAATCGGAGAAGTTATATTAAGAAATGGCAAATTACCAAGCTGTGTTATCCTGTCGACAGTGACATTCGAATTGTTTCTTATAGACATTTCAAGGTATTAGTGGTACTCAGATAATTTTAATAAGACATTAATTGTAAGATAATTTTCCCTTAATAATAAAAGGGCGAATATATGGTAGAGACTATATCCATCTAAAGTGTATATCAAACATTAATCAAATTTAAAATAAAAAACTTATCTTGACACTGTTGTTAAGAGTTTAGTAATATCTTCTTTATTCCTAATGATTGTGGCAGGACTGGCTTGGTCTTTCCTCTATCTTTATTCTTCTATTTGATGACCAAATAAATGAATATTGAAGATCCCTTTTTACTTTCATACATATAGCTATGTGGTACTTATTTAATCTAAATTGTTCCTGGTTTTATTTTGAAGATATTGACGAATGCAACTCTGGATTACATAATTGTCACGCGTTTGCCGCATGTTCCAACACCTTTGGAGGATTTACTTGCCAGTGTAGAACAGGATATGCGGGGAACGGAACTTTCTGTCGAGGTGAGGTGGGATGTGGGGAAAATATTGAGTTTCTATATGCATATTCACTTGTTAATGAATATCATATAGTATACTACATGATTCTACTAATAAATAATAGTGTATTAATGTTTGGTAAACATTGGCAAAAATTACCGTCAATAATTTCATTTTCTCCGGTATTATCGGTGGTAATTGCCTTTTGCAAATGGCAGGAACTGCGAGGATTGTAATTATGTAGCTAGCATTTGTTGTTAATGTTGTTCTTATTGGTTATTTTATGATGATGATGATGGTTTGTTATTTTTGTTGTTTTGCTGATGTTTCTGTTCTCTTCAGTTGTCCTGTTTATATTACTGGTTTTGCTTTTGGTGATGGTGGTCTTGTCATATATGCACATGTATAATTAACATTTTTTGTCATGTTTCATATTAGACATCGATGAATGTGCGGCCAATACTGATAACTGCCACGTTAAGGCAACTTGCACGAATACGATTGGTAGCTACACCTGTCAATGTATCACGGGTTATGAAGGGAATGGCACCCATTGTGTTGGTAAGTTATATAGCTTAACGTGAATGAACAAAACAGAACAGAATAGATCTAGGTTTTTCTCGGTAAATGACGGCTAAACACTGTAATATTTACCAATCACAGAACTATAGACGTAGGGATGAAACAGAAAACTACTAGCATTTACCTTTACAAAAACTCTTATTCTTAATAGACATTCTTAGACTACAATCTACCAGTCAACTTTATTTTACTGATGAAAGACACATGCATGTATAGTTCACTTCAATCTGCACATTCAAAGGTTCAGGGGAATTCGGATCGCTATATCAAAATTAGCACGGTTCGTACTTCTATTACCTGCGTGTTTAATAAACGTTGTTTTGAATATATGCCGTATTCAAATATTCCCAGTCAGAGTTTTCGGACAAAATCCAAAATTTTTCATGATCCTTATACTTCCAAGTCTGTCTACAGCTGCGTTATAAATTCTCGCAAAAATTACGGCTGAACATGCTTATATGCATTCCTTAGATATTATTTATGTAATATTTGGTTAACCTTCTGCATATTCCCAGGGCATCTTATAGTGCATCTGACAAAATTAATGACCAGAAAAAATGAATTACGTTATTATTTTTTACATATAGTGCGAAAGTTGAGCTATGTGTGAAAAGAATACTGAAATTTTGTGATGATCATTATTGTATCCATAAAAGTCTTATACATTTCTTTTTAGACATTAATGAGTGTATACGACGTACAGACAACTGCCATGCTAACGCCTTATGTACCAACACTGACGGATCATTCCTGTGTACTTGCTTAACAGGATATGCTGGAAACGGAGTTATTTGTGCTGGTATGAACCTTAAATTAATAATATGAACCATTCTTTGAAATCTGAAACCAAATGAACTATTTTCAATGTATAGATATTCATGAGTGTACAACAAATACACACAATTGTCATATCAACGCACAATGTTCCAACACACAAGGTTCCTTCAGGTGCACCTGTAATCCTGGCTTCACTGGACCAGGAACAAACTGTGTTGGTAGGTGTCATTACTATATATTTGTTTAGTAAATAGAGCAAGATCTAGGTTAGCCTAAAGATAGTTGATGTATATTCATGTAAGTTTTTAAATTAACTCATTTATCTTATTGGATGAGCCATAAAGTGATAACGTTCTGGGCAAACGCTATTAATAGATATGCTTAAAATTTATTTTATTGTTTATTTTATTATTAATTTAATTATAACTTATTGATCTATTTACTTACAAACATTTAAACAAAGAGGTAATTTTTGTGATAATTATATTACTGATTTAAAACTGGTCATACAGAGCATGTGGCTAGAATATTGTATAAATATTGCAATGTTATATATAATAATACATTCTTACTGTAGATATTAACGAATGCAACCTGAATATTGATGATTGTCATCAATTTGCGACATGTAGCAACACTCTCGGTTCATTTGAATGTCGCTGTAATGTAGGATACGAAGGAGATGGCGTGAACTGTCGAGGTATTCATTGTTTAATTAAGAGTTTCGGTCTAGAATTGTTTTCATTTCTTAGATATTCATTGTTTGTCATTGGATTTTCTCTTGAAAACGAAGTGTATGGGCTTGACTTGTTATTGTCGTATCTCAACACAAACTCGCGCAATCCGTGTTCGGCCGAATCTAGTTATTCTTTTTTCTATTATGCTTAGTTTATTAATAACTTTCACTTATGTCAATCATGCGTACCTGGGGATTTACCACAAAATTAGCTTAACATTGCGCATTGACATGCATGCATGCTAATAATAAATAGAATGAAAGATGCTAGATCTAGAGTTTTGATTCCCTTGTATTTGAACATACTTGAGTACTTCACTTCTTACAAATCAGTAAGTGATGCCAGCTGTCATCATATAAATAGCAACCATGCGCTTTTGGTGTTTCCACTTGGTATGACGACGCAAGACGCTACTCCCATCGTTGGCCAACATCTTAAGTTATCAATAAATTCGTGAGTTAAAGTTCCCTGATTGCATTTCAATTGTTTTAATTTATCTGATTGATAGTCTGTGACACATTATCACTTAGATGTTGATGAATGCGTAAATAATCTTGACAACTGTGCTGTGGGTATTGCAACGTGTACTAATACTCAAGGATCATATATCTGTGCTTGTAACACTGGATACGCTGGAAATGGACGTCAGTGTGTTGGTAGGTCATTTTCGTCGATACTTCTTAAAACGTTTTTATTCTTATACAGTATTTTTTGTTTTCTCCATAGAGTTCTGCTTAAAATTGGAATTTATTTACCTTCAGGCTTATGTCGCCAACATCCTGGTATAGCAACTTGTAAAAATCTACCTATCAGGCTAACATCCATTACGCGCTTTTAGCCATGCTAATTTTCCTCAGCTTAAGGTGGCTCAATACAGTTTTTAAAAGATGGAAAATTCACGAATTAGAGGCGTATTTTTGGACAATTATTACTTGTCGACAAACAAAAAGTGCCTTACTTACATAAACCAACATCTAAGGAGTTTGAATTTTTGCACAAAAGTTACGCAACTGCCGTTGCCATGGCAACAATAATGTTTCAAAATGGCGGATATTTCGGCTTTAAAGTAATTTATATAACTCGTAAACAACATCGGTGACCCCCAATTTTATTTTAAAAATTATTTATCTTAGTATAATCAATTATTTTAACAATTTAAAGAAAATTCTGTGGAGCCAAAAAAATTATTATGAATAATCACCTTTACGTAATTTAAAAAATTTCGGCTCCACAGAATTTTTTTTAAATTGTCAAAATAATTGATTGTACTAAGAGAAATCACTTTTTGAAATAAAATTTGGGGGTCACCGATGTCGTTTACGAGTTAAATTACTATAAAGCCAAAATATCCGCCATCTTGAAATGTCATTGTTGCCATAGAAACGGCCGTTGCGTAACTTTTGTACAAAAATTCAAACTCTTTAGATGTTATTTTATATAAGTAAGGTACATTTTGTTTATCAACAAGTAATAATTGTCCAAAAATACGCATCTAAATCGTGAATTTTCCATTTTTTGAAAAACTGTATTGAGCCACCTTAATGTGACCGGTCAGCAATATGGCAGTGGCATGATTTCATTCTGTGTTTGTATAAAACAAATTTTAGATGTCCGTTTGGATTGTGCATGAACAAAAAAGAAACAAAGATCCTACATAATTTCTCACAATCCCTTTTATCTCGCTGGGATACCCTGTGGTTAACATATATTGCTGTTCTTGCATAGATATCAATGAATGTACAGCTGGAACTCACAATTGCCACCCCACGTTGGCAACCTGTACTAACACACCTGGATCTTTCACGTGTCAATGTATAGCAGGTTTCAATGGAGACGGTGTTACCTGTAACGGTAAGTGGATCATCAGTGTATAAATTGTGTTATGTTTTAGATTGAAGCTATCGTGAAATGCAACAAAGTTTAATGTTCTGCCTCTGGCAAACGCTTAGTTAGCAAACGCAAAGTTATAAATTGTATTTAGTTCATGGCTATTGTGGAATCTGGAATCTGAGCTAGAAATAAATTTTTAAATTGAACTGTAAAGGTTTTTATGAGAACATAAAAGAGAAGGTCGTTTGATTGCAGCGAATTCAATGAATACGGTTAAGAGTGCTTGTCGAGCCAGAATCAGAAAATTATCTGAGAAAATCCACTTTTTCATTCCTCCTTGCCCGATTTAATATTATGCACCTGCATGTGTTATGTCTGCATTGCACCAAAATTGGGACATAGAATATCAATTATTGCGAATAACTGATTTTGTTGCCAAAGTTATGTTTCGTGTATGATGCTTTCAGGGTTAGGGACATGATTAAAGATAAATATATTCGTCCCCAAAGATAACGATGCAACTTCACTTTAAACCTGATTGTATAGCAGACTCAACATATCTTTCTTCTAATTGAAATTACTTATGTTTTATTATACTTCGTTATGATTCTTTCCAGATATTGGAGAATGCACAAGTAACCCTTGCCATGTAAATGCATTCTGTACAAATACAGTTGGTGGTTTTACCTGTACCTGCAACACTGGGTACAGTGGCAACGGTTTAGCAACGTGTAACGGTAAGTCTAGTGTTGATTTATACAAGAACTTCAATCTGTATGTAAAGTCCGAGTACACTTGAATGTTTGCATTTAAATTTGGGAACCCCTTGTATCTTGCTACGGTGGAGATGGGGTAATGGGGCGAGGTTTCTGTTAAATTTTAAATGCAAAAAATGCCAACGCTTTCAAAATTAGATATTGCATGTTTTATCTTTATATTTCATTGGCGTTTTATTGCCACCCAATATAAGCAAATAAAATGACATTTTATAATGCAGCCATGCTCAATATGCAGCTAATATAAGCATTGACTTATTGCGCCACGTGTTAATCTTGTATAGATATCAATGAATGCAATGATGATCCATGTCATCAATTCGCCACGTGTACAAACACTCCTGGTTCATACACGTGTACTTGTAATACTGGTTTCGCTGCCAATGGAACCCACTGTCAAGGTAATCAATTATGTCTCTAGTCAATCTCTGTCTGTCTGTCTGTCTGTCTGTCTGTCTGTCTGTCTGTCTGTCTGTCTGTCTGTCTGTCTGTCTGTCTGTCTGTCTGTCTGTCTGTCTGTCTGTCTGCTTGTCTGCTTGTTTGCTTGTTTGCTTGTTTGCTTGTTTGCTTGTTTGCTTGTTTGCTTGTTTGCTTGTTTGTTTGCTTGTTTAGATAATGAATTTATGGAACCTTTGCTCGTTTTTCCCGACTACGTGCATGTGTAAAAAAATCAATATTTTTCTATTTCTTATAGATATAAATGAATGTTTGAATCCGAACACATGTCATAATTCTGCAACATGTACCAATACTGTTGGATCATTTACATGTCAATGTAATTCTGGATATTCTGGCGATGGATTCAGTTGTGTCGGTAAGTATTACGAAAATTGAATTCCAATATAAACTTCAACACGCGCAACTACTTGAACAATTCGATATTATCCGAAAGGGAGTTTATGATTATATAGCTGTAACTAAGAACACGAGTAACCCGCTGCCATAATTCATAGTTGGCTTGTAGTTTAATCATTGGCAAAGCTAAGAAATAAATAAAATAAAATAAAATCAACCGCTCAAACAAAATTCCCTATGGATTCAGAATTATGTTTTTTAAACAAAAAGTCTTTATGCTTCATTGTAAAGAGTATTATAGAAATACATAATGGCATTCTTTTAGTCGAAGGAGGTTGTAATTTAGTTTTTGTTTATTCATTTATTCGGTGCAGTAAACGGTTTAATAAATGTGTGTGACTCTGACCACTAACGACGAGGCGGAACCATGTCTACCACTATAGTATCTGCAAGTTTACTTATACATCTCAAATTCATTAATAATTCATGAGTAAATTAGCTAACCATATTGCTTTATTTGCTCACGTACATGATAATACTGGATACCTATGAAATATATTCATCCTGTCCTAGGACTGGATCAAAATTAATTCAGTCCTTGGACTGGATCAGAAGTAATTATGTAGTGATTTATTCGCATGAGATCATTGAGATGTAATTTCAAATCCTCCAATTCGGACTGGACTAGATTTCAAGCCCTCGCGTTTTGATCCAGTCCTCGGTTTCGCTTCGGACGTGACTTGAAATCCAATCCAGCAATCGTATTACTTAAAATTTACAAGAAATTTAGAATATATAATTAATTTCATCGTCAACAGATATCAACGAATGTTTGACCAATCCTTGTGATCCAAATGCTGCGTGTGGGAATACTCCTGGTTCATTCACGTGCACTTGTAACTCTGGCTATGCTGGAAATGGACTTACTTGTTTGAGTAAGTAGCCAATCACAACTCGTAAAAATACTTATAGGCCATCTGTATATAACTTTATAAATACTAATTAATTGAATAATAACTTTTGAAAGGTCCTCTATAGCTGCGAACGTAGCTGATCTTGACAGGATGAACAGTAGTTACACTATAAGAGTTACTACTGACAACTATTGACTTCTTGACGGGAACTCATTGTGCATGGGAACTAGCACAGAAGCTGAATTCCAATCTTTGGCTACGGCATATCTGCATGGCCCATTGAACTATGCGCTCTTGGCAGACTTAAGAGAGTCTTAGTTAAGATATACATATAGGATAAACATATAGTCGTTAGGAAAGTAATGTCACAGTTGTAAAGGTTAGTCTTGTCTAAGTATAGGTAATATTAGTAAGCACAATATCTCGTGCAATGTGTCATGACAAGTGAGCTGAATAATGTGAATGTAAGTTCTCTTTATCGAATCAGCCAGAATCATGGCCACAGTTAATGCGGAGAGACTTTAATGTTGATCAGGACTTTGAAAACTTTGGAAATATATTAAATTTGAAAACAAATTGGAAGCCTGGAAAATACTTAAAACATTAAGTGCATTATTTTAATGTAAAAACATTATTTTAAGTAGAATTAGTGCTTTCTGATGATAGTTATATTCATGAAGAATGTCCTTGACGGGTCATGAAAAAACACGATTACTCTAGGTTAATGTCAGAATTTCTTGGTGTAATGAGTTTGTTATAATTTCAGATATCAATGAATGTGTAACGTTGAGTCCTTGTAGTCCAGATGCAACTTGCCAAGACACCCCTGGTTCATTTAGATGTACCTGTAACGTTGGTTTCACTGGAAATGGACTTACTTGTTCTGGTAAGTTGTTGTTTAATTTGTTTCACATGCGAAGAAATTGACGAATCAGGAACAGCGGTAATTCCCAGTTAGTCAGAAGACATTTCCTTGGGGCTTAAGGAGATTTTAATGTTGGAGAGAAGAGCTTCATAGAGAGAAAAGTTTATTTGTTTGGTCGAAATGCAGTAAAGTGCATGAGTGACGTAATCTTGAAGGTCTGTGCCAGTGTTATAGTAGCGATGTCAAAAGACAGCTGCGTGAGAATTGAGAAGGTTACAATTTGATCACAACTTCGTCGTTTCGAGCGAAGGCTCTTCTTCAGGAAGTTAGAGTGTTGATCGGGAAAGTTACATGTGCTTTTATACTAGGCAATATAAAAGTGATCACGTCACAATAAATATCACCTTATTCCAGACTTGTTTCATATATCATTTGTAGTTTTCCGTATATTTGTATTAATATATTCTGTAATGTGATTTAAATATTTGTGTACACTTTCTTTGGACTAAATCCATCTGATTGTTTTTTTGTCACGTGCAGCATGATCACTTTCATATTTAGTAGTTTACTAGTATAAAAGCTCTTTTCCTATCCATGCCACTAACTTCTCAACGAAGTGTCTTGAAACATCGAAGTTCTGCTTATATTTTTCAGCTAGCTGTATCTATCTCAATTTGCTGCAGTAACAATGAACTGTTTCAGGGAATTTAATAAATATAATCAATACGGCATGTTTTTCTTTCATGTAAGGAAATGCTTATAGAAGACCCCTGTCTTAATACAGGGTTCATAGTATGAAGTGTTTTTAAGTTGTAATTACAAATTACTTTTAGTTTTTGTTGGAAGTGTTCACTATTTTATCTTTACATTACACTTTCTTTTTAGATATCAATGAATGTCTTACTACTCCTTGTGATACAAATGCTCAATGTACAAACACGCGTGGCTCTTTCTTGTGTCAATGTAACTCTGGATTTGCGGGGAATGGATTCACTTGCGTCAGTAAGTCAACATTTTCCATTTGTATCTTCATGCAGAGATGCCACGCAACCACGCTTGTTCGCCATTCTTTGTTTGCAAACCGGGCGAGAAAAGCGTAATAGAGAGGTTAAGATACCCCGGTTTCGGTGTACATGTGCGGATACCATGATTTTGGTTAGCAATATTTTCGTCGATGTCTCCGACTCTGTACCTTTACTCGTAATTAAGGTGCACATTTTTGGCATTATATCATTGTCTATTGCAAGAAAACAAAAAAGTATCATCGAATTACAAACATCCGTAAAACAAGATGACACTACTCGTACCCGTACACCGAAACCGGGGTATCTTAACCTCTCTAACAAGAGGAGGCCGGAATGATTTAAATAACTTAAGATACAGTGGCTAACAATTTTTCACCGACACTGAACGGTGCAAGGATATTCACCAGGACGCGAAGCGTTAGATTCACCGACACTGGCGTGAACATGACTTTTAGCGTATACCATAACAAAACAAAAATGACAATAACAAAAGAATAAAGGGCGAAAAACAACGAAAATAGTGTGAAAACAATTTGTATTGTTAAAAACAAAACAGTATTTACTAATTTTAGTAATTTTACATTCATTGGAAAGAGCAAAGATTACTTCCACACAAACAAAACTTTGAGGCTTTCTTTGTTCTTAGCGGAACCACAGTTTCGTTTAGTAAAACTATTTGCTTGTCTATGACCGGAACGAAACAAGAAGAATTTTATTTTGCCCCGGAGCTGAATAGTGCATCCGCGGAGATAAGCAACCAATTAAGTAAGAGTTAGATACTCAGGTATTGTCCATGACGGGTTGCTATCAATCCCTTGAGAGACAAAACCATGGCGGCCACGCCGGATAAAACACGCTTTAGGCTAATTAAAATACCTGCTTATGAGATTGTCATATCATAGTTTCTCCAACATGGCCAGCATGACGTCACGTGCAATCCAAGAATAGGTACAGTCTAGTATATAAGCTAGTGTCTGTCAAACGTGATTTATTACAAGTCTTGAAGTGAATGCCACCATTAGGTTTTGTGTCAGGCCCTATTCTGTGATTAGGACCTGAACTTCAGGTTATACTTTTGGGAAATGGAATACTCTAGAATGCAGATGGAGTGGTAAATGTCAAAATTTCAACTGGATAATGGATGCTCTTGCCTCTTGGAATTGTCGATTACTGTTACACGTATAGTGGACGTGCATGACATTGAAACTGATTTGTCAATAGAAATTTTGAGATATTTCAGCAAAGAACAAGCTTCAAATTTACAATCCCATGTGTTTTTACGCTGTATGTTTACGCTGTATGTTACTATAGCGAGACTGAATATCTCGGGGAGTTGTTGAGTACATGTACAGCATGTAAACCACTATGTAAACGCTGAGTAAACTGCTTAGTGCTGACTGTGCTTGTAACACAAATTTCAAGCAACTATTGTGCAAGTTGACCAAATGTAAGAAGTGTTTATATATTCAGTAACAATAAATCAAGTAAAGTTATACAATTTATGTTGTTGCTGTATTATGTTAGATGTTATGCTCAAGATTATTCTACTGCATTACTGCATGATATTAACCAGCCTGCCATCCAGCTGACTAAAATTTCAAACAGCCATCTAAAAATTTGGATTGTCACTTGTGTCAAGAAACATACCTTTACGCTACCAAAAGAGATACACCTCCATGTGTAAATAAAATAATACAGGGATCGATCCAGCATGATCTGGTAGGGGGCTGCTCTGCAAGCTCTGCAGTGGTGCCGCCAGCTCGATAATTGGGGGGGGG